ACATTTAAAATGAATAAAAATACGAAAATTAAATAAACAAATAATAAATATGTATTATTTTATAACACAAATAAATAAAAAAATAATAAAAATAAAAAAATAATAAAAATAAAAAAATAATAAAAATAAAAATAGAAAAATTAAGTAAACAAATAATAAATATGTATTATTTTATAACACAAATAAATAAAATAATAATAAAAATAAAAAAATAATAAAAAATAAAAATAAAAGTAGAAAAATTAAATAAACAAATAATAAATATGTTTTATTTGATAACACAAATAAGTAAAATAAACATAAAAAATTAAAATATATAAATAATAAATATGTATTGTTTAATAACAATTTTAAATAAAAAAATAAACAAAAAATTAATAAATAAAATAAATATATAAAAAATATAAATAAAAATTTAAAATAAATAAAAATAGAAAAATTAAATAAACAAATAATAAATATGTATTATTTAATAACACAAATAAGTAAAATAAACATAAAAAAATAAAATAAATAAATAATAAATATGTATTATTTCATAAAAAATATAAATAAAAAAGCAAAATAAAAAATAATAAATAAAATAAATAAATAAAAAATATAAATAAAAATAGAAAAATTAAATAAAAAAATAAAAAATCTGTATTATTTAATAGCACAAATAAATAAAATAAAAATAAAAAATGAAATAAATTAATAAATATGTACTATTATTTCATATAAACTATAAATAAAAATTTAAAATGAATAAAAATACAAAAATTAAATAAACAAATAATAAATATGTATTATTTAATAACACAAATAAGTAAAATAAACATAAAAAAATAAAATAAATAAATAATAAATTTGTATTAATTTATAACACAAATAAATAAAATAAAAATAAAAAATAAAATAAATAAATAAGTATTATTTAATACAAAATATAAATAAATAAATATGCATCATTTAGTAACACAAAATAAAAAAAGTAAAAATTTAACAAAAAAAAATAAAAATAAAAAAAAAAATTAAAAAATATTAAAAAATATTAAAAAAAAAATAACACAAGGTCGCTTAAAGTTTAACATAAAAAAACTAACTGTTTATATCATACTATAAGTAAAATAACGTTATGTTAACAAATATGTGTTATTATTAGTTGCTGTTTGCATGTTCGTTTGATAAATAATTTAATTGACTGATTGCTTGCTTAAATTGAATGCAAAAACTAATATACATATACTTGTATAAATATGTATATAAATGCACTTATTTCACCCATTTGAATTGTATGTATGTAGTGTTGATAAAATATTCATTTCCAGAACTAGATATTGCATACTTATGGGCGTTTAGGCATGTGAATAATAAATAAATCATTATTAAGTAATTACAAAATGCTACATATACATACATACTTACATACATACATAATATATGTATATAAAAATATTTATACCGTATACACGTTTGTACATACACACTAATCAATGAATTAACGAGTGCATACATAACAGCTGTATTACAGAAATACATACATACATACTAACATAAATTACAAATTATGAAACCGCAATTCAAAAGGGGAAAGTGGCGAAAGGCAATAGTAAATAGAAAAGAATAAGAAAGATATCCATACCAAGAATTGAATGCTGTCAAAAGATGCAGAACATACGTGTACATACATATGTGTATAGCACATACATACGTGTATGTATGTACAGATGCGTGTACGAATGTGTATAATAAATAATAAATGCATACGTTGTAAAAAACATACATAAAACATATATTAAATATTATTATTAATTAATAAAAATAAAACAAAAATATGTATGCAATTAACTAATTATTATTATTATTAATTATTAATTATTATTATGATATTTAGTAATTCTAATGAAACATTGTACTGAAAGTGTGAAGAGAAAGAATTAAGAGAGTAAAACAAAATGTGAAATAAAGATGTAATTCTTAATATCAGAAAATTTAATGGAAATATTCAATGGGAAAAACTACTTTTTTTAGAAAAAAAAAAACAGCTCATCAGCGGATGGTCGCGGTTACACTGAACAGCTACAGATTTGTTGTTGTTCTTGTAGCCTGTGGTTGGCAGTAGGCAAAACAATTCTAAGTCAACGAGGTCATCAAACAGGAGGACCTGGAAACGAGCCGCTTCTACGGGTTCGGTTCAGAAAGATAGAGTTGAGTAGGTAGAGGTCTTTAATGCAGTGCGGAGTCTCATTGTATGCAAAATATACGTTGAGTATGTCGGGTGCAAGTCTGGATATGTGGTAATTAAGTTGACTATAGTCGACAGAGTTCAATTGTGCAAGTAATACTCGTGTATCTCGAGCTCTTGGTTTGCAACAGGTGGAGCTTGAATTCCTCGAACGCCATTCGCTGGAAGACAGTTTATGAAGGTGTTGATGGAGTTGCGTTGAATTGTGTTTAAAGACTGTCGGAGTGTCGTTATTGTTGTTGTTGTAGAGGTTCTCCAACCACGCTTAGGAAAAGCTTAATTAGTCTAAATCAGCGAGGTCATCTAACGCAAGGATATGAGCTGTTTCGACGGGCTTGAACCAGTGGGAGTGGGAGGTTAGTGGAATTGGTTTTAGGACGCATGCAATGCGGCGCTTAGTGCAGTGCGGAATATCTCTGTACGCAGAACATACGTCTACGGTATGTCGGGGTCGAGTCTGGATAAGTAGGAGTTTAACCTGCTACAATATCCAGACCTTAGTTGCACCCGTTTAGCACAAGACTCTCGAGGCGAGGGAGAGAGTTCATGTAGTTGTTAACCGACTTTTGGGGAATGGCGTTAAGTGCTTGTCTGTACGGTGTCCTGTTCAGCGTTTCTTGTATGTTGCTAAATAACGTACTTTAAGTCGAGTAATCCCATTCTGGTGTGCCGGGGTGGAGATTAGCGTACTAAATAAATGTATGTTGGGCGTCCAAGCAGCGTAATTTACCACGGGCTCGTCAATTGCCTTGTTTATTGTGAGCAACGTTTCTTTGTCCCCAGGTGTTGCTGGTTAACGCTCTGAGGATTTTGTTGCGGCTCTGGAGTTTTGTGGTAATAGCGTTCATATGCACTCTTTCGTCGAATGTGACTCATAGTAACTTTGGATTGTTAGTTTTCGGAATTTTTACGTCATAGATTTTCTCCTCGAGTTCGTGCCGATGCTCATTCGCCCAGCATGCAAAGATCATATCGTAGGTTGTAGCTATAGGTGTCGTACAGTGAAGAAGTGGTCAGGCTGAAATGGGGCTTAAACTCATAAACACCTTCATGAATTCACTTCCTATGAATGGCATTGTGGTAAACCAAGCACCCTTTTATGCAAACCAAGAGCTCGAGCTGCCTTGAAATACCCGAGTAATACAGGAACATCAAAAGATCTACCTATCCGGTCGTAGCTCGTTATACTTAACGTATAACCTGCATGTGATGAATTCCTAAACGGCACTAACCACCCTCTTGGCAAGTCCACAAAAATCCACTCTATTCCATACCTTCTGTTAGATGATCTCGACGATAGCTGGGCCCTGTTGAGCAGCCGTATCCACTGTCTTTTAATTTGGTAAACTATTTTAATGCTCTTCTGTACCTCATAGGGCTCGTTCCTTCATCGACGTTCCAGAGGACCATATTTATTTTTTAAAGCAGACTCATGTTGCCATGAACATGAACATGTTTTTGCACCATTTTTCAGGACGGGAACGATGATCGAACTGGAGCTAATTTTGTTTCATCGTGAGACTTCACTTTTCAACAGTGCACTTAGCCGAAGTAGTCAACTTAGTGTTGTTACTGATTCCTACAACTTCAATGTTGTGGCTGTCAACACGGACGAGGTACTCCAGACGCGTCGTCGTTCACTGTCAGATGCAATCGATTCGAAAGCTTAGTTACGCTTAGTGTGCGACAAACTCGTCTTAATTTTTTTCCTTTGGATCTGCACGGCAAACTTTAGACCGTATGTAGCTCAACCTTGAAGGTATCACGCAACAGGACATGCCTGTACACCGTCTTTCACAGAATTTCCAGCAGAGTTGGACAACGTCATCTCCACTAAATGTTTTGACGATCTTTTCTCCACATAACAGAAATGAATAGGAAAATAAAAATGCTCTGGATCCCAGTGACATATACAACCCGGACAGGGAGACATCCTAGTCCACTGTGTGGTAGATGAGCTAGCGGGAGGAGGTACCACTCTAACTACAGTAAAATCCACGCACGTGTAACAGGAAATAGCCAACACTAGATGGCTTAACGAAAGTACTTGAAACGTGTCCACAACTTTGGCCTGTGTTGGAAGCTAAAAAGTCGAGAAATCTAGTCCTCTTAAACCGGTTCACCACTAAACACCGCAAAAATTGGTATACAAACTAGAGACTGTTTAATGGGACTTCACTTTAGGACAATGGGACAGTTTTCGAATAATTTTTATCGAAGGTGCCGAGACGAAGAAGAGGAAGATTCACTGTTCAGCCCTAAGCACTATACGTCATAAGTAGCAGGGATTTCACTCATTTGCTTGCCTGGCTAACGTAGCAACGGTTGGTATAGGCAGTATCGCATCGGTAATAAGGCATTCGTACTATAGACGGCCGGGGTAGTCGAATGATTAGCATTGCGTACACAAATCCTGCTGCGACCAACATTCAAAAGTTATAAATAATTAATTTAATAAAAAAATTTAGTTAAATTTTCTAATTGCGGTCGACTCTCTGAGTGTATTTATGACATGAAATAAAGGCTCCTCATAACAAACTATCAGCCGTTCGGAGATTGTTTCCTATGTTCTACTGACACCGAGGCACTAAAATGTTACTATCGGTGGTGTGGAAAAGGAAATGACCTTAACATTATAAGCCAGACTCAAACCACTTCCGTCTTTGTACAATAAAAGCTGGGCTCTAGGCTTTGTGAATTCGAGCTGGCATGACTTCCTTAACTCGCACATGTAATAGAGCTTGATTTCCGTACTGGAAAATATTTAATTTTATTTATTTAAATATTTTCACATCTGTATATATGTATGTATGTATACTTCGTTCGCTTTAAACATAATGGGCTGGTGACACACTTAAATAAAAATTATGATATCAGTGTATTGTATGAATTAGTAATGCCATAGAAACTTCCCGAGGGCGATACCCCATTAAAAACCAATATTTAGTATTATTTTTAAAGTATACGAAAATCTTAAAATTCATCTACAACTAAACGACTGCGCAGACGACGCGAGATTTCATTATAATTCCGCTCCTTCCATTGTGCATTGATCTTAATCGTCTCCAGAGCCTGTTGTACACCCTGTTCCACTTTACGCAAAAGTTCTTTGTTCTCCTCACAGAAAGTGCGCATATTTTCATACTCCCGCTGGCTACTCATCTGGCTGGCGATGGGTGAGAGCAGGCGGCGAAGCTCAGAGCCGTTTGGTTCGAAACTGTAGGAAGAAAGTAAGGTTATAATGCGAATCAATGAAGTTATCAAATAAAACACTTACTACTCATGCAAGAATTCAATATTGGTAATTAAGTAATCGCGCGCCAAGTGGAAACCAATTTCTCCATGTGCGACAGCACCGAAAGCAAAAGTCGAATCCTGTCTGCGTATATGTTTCTCATTATCGAATGCCCATTCCAAGTAACGTTGTAGAATCCAAACTTCACGTGAGCAACCCAATGCGGAAATTATTGTACGCTTCTCAGCGGCCACATTCGAATTCTTATAACGAGCCCACAGGAATTGCCAATCATCCTCATTTCCATGACGAATAGATGTACAATAGATGACCGAACGTAAATCTGTTGGTACCGGATTGAATTCGTCGGGATTGGGTACGGCACGCCATTGCTTGAAATATTCTTGTGCGCTTGGTATGCAATCATCGACTTCGAAGCGACATGCCCAATTGGCGATGAGTTCCTTGTGGAGTATAGTGTGCGGTGCGGTCTTGACTTCATCAGTCACATTCAAACCACCGAGGTAGATGTAAATGGGAGTGAGTATTTTTCGCATGTATTTCTATAAAAGAGGGTGGAGAATTTCGTTACCATTTAGTTTCGAAAATGTAGGTGATTATGGAAAAATTAGTGGACTTGAAAAAAAAAATTGAGCTTGAGTTGTAAGCCACCGCGGTAAATCTATGAGAAACCAAAACTTTCATGTTGGCCGCTTTTTTATGGGCTGGGCTCGAACACCTTGCATTTCATATAATAGTAGAAATGTCCAGTAGGTCGCGATATTTTTTTGAGAAAATAGACATTGGCGGCTGGAGTGGTTTGCAGCACGTGCTGCTACTCCGAAGGCTCAAACCCTTAAATCAACATCTCAACATCTTAAACTATCATTTCTCTAATTGCGGTTGCTCCAAGGCAGGAAATGTCAAGCCCTAAGACAGCATTTATCACATGAAATAAAAAGCTCCTCATAAAAAATCCCCCAGCCGTTCAGAGCTGGCTTAAAATAAACTGTAGATCGGTCCATTTGTTGGAAAACTATCAAGATGCTTACCACAAATCAGAGTAGGAGCTGGGCCGCTACAAAGCGCCAATGGCATAATAGAGATGAAAAATATTCTTTCATTTTACGCAGGATCAGCAAGATTGGCTCACAAGTGGCTACTACGTTGGCTGACAATTCGATTTAGTGAGCTTTGATAAGTAAAGCCTTATTGCACACTGCCAGAGCTTTTAATACTTACATTGAAGAAATACTGTGGCCATAAAATTCCATTTTGGATATTAAATATTTTTAGCAGCATTCCAGTGAGTCAAGAATAATTTATATTTTCCAAAATTGAAATGTTTTTCTTTTGAGAACGTAGCACTTACCTTAAAGTACTCATACTCTGGAGTCTGGCGCAGGATTCTGTTGACGTCGCGCAAATTATCCAAAGCAGCCTTCCACGGTATGTACTCTCGTTCGCGTACCAAATACTCGATCAAACGCATTGCTATATCGTAGTCCTGATCGCCGGTCCAAGCCAGAGTCAAAGCATCATCGATCAGGTGAGCACGATTGATTACATGTACCTTCCGGTAATCATCACTGGTCAGTGTCTCAATCAACATATTCCAATTGCGCTCGTCGTACTTCACTTTATACAGACCCGACATTTGTACATTGAAGATGATCCATTCATTCTGATCGGGCATATCCTTAAGAGTCTGTGTGACTGGTTCATTCATGCCACTACATTGTAGCCAATTTTTCGGTGTAGTAGCGGCAAAGTCAATCTCGGTCTGTGTTGTATAACTCAATGGCACCCACCAGCAGCTGCGTTCGGCATCACGTGAGGCGATGGTATCAAGTAAATAACGAATTTGTGTGACCTTAGCGAGTTTGCGATCGTAATCGCGTGTCACTGTAATGATCGGATAACCAGTCTGCAAGGTCCATGAGTCCATGATGGTTTTGATGTCGAATGTCTTAGGAAGTGTGCGGTATTTGTGTGCAGCCTCGGTAAGTGACATCCAGAGGTCATCCTGTTCAGCATTGGCGTAAGCGTGTTTTTTGAGATAGTAATGTAGACCAGCACGGAATGCTTCATCGCCGAGGAAGTGATGCATCATACGTAGAACGGTAGAACCCTTCTTGTACGAGATAGAGTCAAAGATCTCTTCAATTTTGTTGGTATGTGTAATCTCTTGCGAAATCGGATGGCTGCTTTTGAGTGCGTCCAATTTGAAAATGGCCAAAGTATTACCAACCGACTCTTTTTCCAACTCACGCCACTCCGGGTTAATATGTTCGACACCCAAGCTGGCCACGTAAGTGGCGAAGCCCTCATTCAACCATAGATCCTGCCACCATTTCATTGTGACTAAATTGCCAAACCACTGATGTGCCAGTTCATGCGCAATAACCGAAGCGACGCGCTGTTTATTCTCCAGTGAAGAAACATTTTCGGCATAGAGTAAAGCGGTTTCGCGATATGTTACGAGACCCCAATTCTCCATAGCGCCAGCGCTAAAGTCGGGTATGGCGATCTCATCAATTTTATCCAACGGAAATTTAATGTTGAAAATATCCTCGTAATATTGCAACACTTTCGGACCTACATCGGCTGCATACTTGCACTGCTCTATAGCATCCGGACGTGCCCACGTACGAAATTGAACTTTGTTCTTCAGACTTGTTTCAGAAGTGACATAGGCGAAGTCGTTAACGGTATATGCAACCAAATAAGTGGACATAGGCACCGACTCTTCGAACTCGCTCCACACCCAATCCTTTTTGTCAGCCCTGTTGAGTGGAGGGCGCAATAAATTACAAATGGAAAAAAACAAAGTAGAAAGAAAAATATTTACATGGGACGCGTTTCCTTTAGTGGCATATTACTCAATGCTGTGTACTTATTGTGATGTCCGAGTATAACAACGAATTTGGCCTTAAAATCGGGCTCATCAAAACAAGGGAATGCATAACGAGCAGACGCCGGCTCGAACTGTGTCACGGCAAGCCATCTGAAAAGATCAAAACAAAAATTTATAAATTTTCCTTTACCCTACTCCTTTTCCTTGCCACCCTTCTTACGTACTTTGTCTGATTGCTCGCACGATCCACATACGAGCTGCGATAGTATCCACGCAAATTTAAATTCAAAATACTCGAGAAGGGTATGGTGAGTATGTACTCCTCACCCTGGCGCAATGGCTCACACAAATGCATAATGTAGTAGCCGTGGTAGGTGTTTATCTCCGTGGAGCGCACACAATTCTTCTGCTCACTCTCCTTGGCACGTAGGTTTCGCAAGATTATCTCACGACTGTTTATGGTGAGATTAAGGGCGTGCAGCGTAATGTTGCTGGTATCCTCCAAAGCGATCAAATGCATTGCCACTTCACCGACAAATGTTAGATTTTCCGGATTCTCGAGATGTGTAATCACGTGAAGCGTGTACTTTTGTGGCCTGATTGATCTCGGCAAACGAAAATGATTGTACATGCTCGAAACGAGTTGGACTTTCGGCCTGTTGCCCTCAAGACCGATGGGCTCGTTGTCGGTAAAGGCGAGCACTAAAGAGGCAATGGCCATAAAGGCCAGAGCGGCACAGATGTAACGTAGTTGAGAAGTCATCTTGAATTGTAAACGCTTGCTGGAAATGAAATTGGAAAACATTTAAAATAAATTTCTAAATAAACAGCTCTCCACTAATTTTATGAAATATAAGTATGTATGTATGAATGTTTATTGGTTTGAATATGTCAGTTTTTCGAAGTTTGAAAAGTTTCCCAGTTATTTTAAAAATCAAAGTAGAAAATTTCTTATTTTGGTAATTACATTACATTAATTAATATAATCAGCAACCGATCTCAGAGGTGTGTCTATAGAGATCAGTCTAGAATTGTTCTCTGTTGCTCTGTCTGCTGTTTTGTTAAGTAGGTAAATATGAAAGAACTAATAACTCTCTGTCGATATAGAAATTAACCTCTATTCTTATTAACTTTACTTTATGCCGACCCATACTCGTATAGTTAAATTGATAAGCGCGATCTGTACAAAAACCATAATGCACATACACCGTTTTCCTCGATTGCGGCAGCGTCGTACATTATGAGCTCTTATCACAGTGCCATATGGCCAATAAAGAATATTACCTGTCAGTTATGTACGAATTTTACCAAGAAGTCCGCCCAAATATCACGGATCACAGTAATGGTGCCGCAATAACCATATTTCCCAGTCCTGGCACCGAGTTTATGAAACTGAAGAGAGTTCAGAACAGCAGGATATAAAGAGAAGGTAAAGACTGCATCGAAGGAGGAACTGAACAAAATCACAAAAATTGACTTTTTTAAGTGTTCTGAAGTTTGGAAAAAGCGTTATGACCAAAGTGCATTATTTATGAAGATGACAATCAATTAATGAAACGTTAACCACAGGCGCGAAGGCAGGGTTTGGAGAGTTGAAACATTTTGGGCTGGATTCCCAGTATATTTTCAACATTAGTTTCTCATTTGAATGACAAAAATCCAATTTCCCTTTATAATTTCTTAGTAAATGAGTTGTAATCTAGCTTTAGTCCCGAGTTCCAACGCAAAAGTCGCGTTAAAGTAGCTGCTTTTAATTTCATTTGTAATATTTTGGAATTTACGTGAGCTTATCAGCTGAGTCTTGCGTCTAAGTGTATGCCTTGATATATTAGATCGTTTGTTAGGCCAAGATTTATACCATTTAAACTAACCGCTATCGCTTAACTAGAAACCCTTCAGTGATAAATTCCGATTGTTTTACTGTAAATCGGCTGTTAGGCATATATGACTCAAATATCTTGAGGGACTGTATAAGCAAAGTTAGCCAAACCTTGCTGAACGCTTGTGCTACGTCGAGGAATATTGGCGCAACAATGCTCTTTAAACCCGAACGCCTTCCTAACATCATTAATGTATTCCTGTTGACTTTGTTAATTTTTTAATTTTTATTCGATAGTTTTGTTACACCACTGAATTCTATGAAATCTTTGCAGGTGTTCCATAAGGAAATGTTTTGCGGCTCGTCTTGTAATTAATTTATACGAACGATCTTCCCACATCCCGAAACCTCATCACATCAACTTTTGCGGTTGATACAGCAATACTTAGTGTCCATTTGAACCCCATGACAGCCAGTTACAGATTACAAGAACATTAAAATGTAATAGAAGAGTGACTAACAACTTGGAGAATTCAAGTCAATGAGTCTAAGTGTATACTAGTAACATTAACCCTAAAAAGAGCATGTCCTTCAATCACTATAAATGGGAATACAATACCTCAGAAAGAATTCGTTACCTACCTGTGAGTAACATTGGATAAAAGACTCAACCGGAAAAATCACATAGACAAAAAGATCACTCAAACGAAATTGAAAATTGCGAACTTACATTGGATTGTAGGCTCTTAGTCCAAACTAAGTCTAGAAAACAAAGCTTTACTTTTTAATATGCTTATAAAACCACCTTGGACGTACGGGATTCAAATTTGGAGCTCAGCATCTAAATCTAGCCTAGGAAGTATTCAAAGATCAATATGGAAAGCACCTTGGTATGTAAAAAACTCCACAATTCACCACGTTCTCGGTATTAAAACCATCAGCGAGGAAATAGAGAAACTGCTTAAAAAATACTCATTTAGGTTATTTAGGTTATGTAACCACTCAAACTTTCTAGCTGCAAAGTTATTACAGCAGAACTACCCTAAGCGATTAAAGAGAAAGGATTTACTGAAATTTGAACCGTGACTAAGGGCTCTGCCGCATCAAATTATTCTACATCGAAGTTGCGCTCCGCATATATACTACATGATATAATAATTTACTTCGAATTATCCTTTATGATATACACGTATCTTTTCTTAAATTTTAAACATGAGTGTTTGCTATACCTAATGATATCTATATAAACATATTCTTTGATAAATCTAAGTTATATTCGTAATTTATTGTATTTTGCTTACTTTGTTAATCTATACAGTGGTAATGTTTAACTTGTTCTAGGAATAAGGATTAGCTTTGAGATTTTAGAAATTATTGTTAGTTTCCTAAAAGAAAATATTCAATAAAACATTATAAAAAAAAAGATTTGTTCGTATATTTGGTTTTGAAAAATTACTACTTTTCCAAGACACTTTTACTCTTTTTAAAACTCAACACACAATTGAAAGAGAGCAAGAAGAAGCTGTACCCTCCCATCTAGAAAAGCCAATACTCACTTATACATATACTATATACTCTTTTTCTAACATTAACTAGAAGTACGAGTACATATAAGTATGTACCAGAAGGAGAAATTTATATTGATTGGGTCAGAATGACGAGTTAAGTTAATTTAGCCCTGCCCGTCTATTTGAAGGCAAACTCGTTAAAACTTAATACACAGTTATACAGATACGTTTAAACGATCATTTGCGGTAGCTGGCCAGATCGGACTACTGTAGTTTATTTATAACCGTTTATTAATATGTATTTGATATTTTGGATAATAAATTTGTCACGATAGAAAGACATCTCGGAGCGTGTTAATATGTATTTTTGATGAATTACACAGGCATGCTAAAAATTCTCGAAATCTTCCAAATCACGGTTTTATACAGGTAAGGGGGGTTAAATATTTGATATGATCATGAAAGGTATTGATACAGCTCTGCTTTCTTATTTCTACTTAACAAAGAGACTAAGAGAAAGAGACATTAAAGAATCAATAATAAAGATTTCATATTAGATTTTGTAAAAAGTAATCCATCATTTGGATCGGTTGGATAACTCGAGATGGGTTTAGAAAGCTGATATATGGCATTAAAACAGGTAGCATGTGAAGTATTGATCACTTAACTCAGTAGTGTTTAAGCGCTTGTCAAAGATGGACAAAAGCAAAGAGAATAAGCGTTGTATTATATGGCATTTCCACAACAGTCCAATTACGTGTTTCGCTCTCTCAATCGTAATTCGCAATCCAAATACATGCTGAATTATTTCATTCGGCATACAAATTTTCGGGAGCGAATTACAGTTAAAGTGGGTAATTCGTACTCAATTGCCATGCGAATTACGACCAAATCGATGCCTTCTCTAATTCTTATCGAAATTTTATCGAAACCAACTGACAAAAATTAAAACAAAAGACAGGAGAATCACAAAAGTCGATACTAACACAAAAACATTGATTTGAAACCAAAGAAAAAATTAGAAATTATTAAAGAAACTGGCATAATATTACCAATTCAGTTCAAAATTCTGTTAACTTTTACTAAAACCTTTAATTTACCATACTTTTTCAAATGGGACGAACAAGCAAAACTGAAAACTGTCAAACTGCGTGCCGTGGGAATGGGGGTAATTCGCATTCGTAATTGAGAGAGCGAAACACGTAATTGGGCTGTCGTGGAAATGCCGTTTTATACAACTTTTTTTTTGATAAATCCGAAAACGCGAGTCAGCCAGAATAGTGTACTGTGATACTGTTATAGTAAATCGCGCACAATTTTAGTTTCGTCGGTTTCTGGTAATTTTTTGATGTAATAGCTGATCCCCAGTGTGGAAGGCCAATTATCAAAAATTTCGTTAAAATAATAGAAATCGACCAGACTAATCGACTGTCCAGGTGTTAAGTAATGCACAAAAAATAGTGTGAAATCACTTGAAAAAGGATGGATACACGAAGAAGCTCGATGTTAAGGAGAAATAAACCTCACGGGTCGAATTTCCATTTGCGCATCGTTGCTGAGTTGGAAAAAAAATCGATCAATTTCTGAAGCGGGTGGTAACTTGTGATGAAAAGTTGATCACTTACACAAGCAACGCCAAATGAAAATGGTTGTGGTCGATTGCCGTCTCACTCAAGCGGACTCCAGGCCAGGGAATCGTGGAATTGGCTATGAAATATCGACTATGAGTGTCTACTCTATGGCCAAACTCCTAATTTGAATCTTAATTGTTAGTAAGCAATCGCCCAGAAGCGCCTAGGTTTGGCTAACAGAAGAGTTTTATTAGCAATTTTACAAAAACAGTGCACAAAATAAATAATTTAATAATAATAAATCTAAAATTTTAAATTTAAATGTTTAATAAACATATGTATGTTTAAGCGAGTAGTTAAAAGTTTTCGAATTTGCTTTCCATGGGTAATATAGTGTTCCGTATACAAATATGTCCGTATATACAATAATAAATGTACGTAAATATGTATGTGAGTGTAAACAAAAAAATCCGTACAAAAATGGCACAATGAACTTGCGAAATTGCCATAATTTAAAATAATTTGCGTGTGGCAAAGCTTTTAACAAATTACTGTAATCAATTTATATTTTGTGTTGACAAATCTCCATCGATTTTATCAAATGAATGTTTAGCTTTAGCTACTGTTATAAAAGTTTATGGTTTCTCGGTTTATTTGAAGAGTTTTGGTGGAGGGAATTTCTTGATTCGACAATTGTGTTGTGTGCATTGAGATCCTTCGCTTTTATTTATTTATAAACCAAATGCTTAAACTGGTTCAAGTTGCAGTTTGAAAGCTTAATTTTGAAGATGATTTAAAAGGGGCGTGATCTAAGTTGATAATATTATATAATATAAATTAGAGAATGTGTACGCATTTTGAGCAGTATTCAAAAATAAATATTT